CGTCTGCATACACAAACAGGAGTTGTTTGTCAGCTGCAAAGTCACAGTCTCTCGTTTTTGATTAAGCAAATTCAGCATTTGTTTAAGATTTTCTATGCTGATGTCGCATTAAATCTGTCTTTTATGTCACTGACACAAGACAGATGCCAATTATCAGCGCCGGAGAAGACAAACGAGAAAGCATGGCGACCATTGTTAATTTTTCTAAGTAATTTGTCAAAATTCTGTCGGTTACGACTGTGCAGAAATTGATAGACTGCTGCAACAACACCTACTAGCTCTCTAGCCGCCATTTTTACTTCTGTTGTGTGTGACGTCTTCTTTTGCGGATGCGGGCCACTTTGAGGGCTGTGAACCGTTCACACTAGAGCACATTTGCTGTCACATTTTATTTGTAGTGTGAACAACCAGACAGAAAAGGAAAAAGGTGGACTGTGATCTGAAGTTTGAAAATCAGATTAAGGCAGTGATAACATCCAGCTTCTTTCAGCTCAGGCAGCTGGCCAATTCTTTCACGGCAGCACTTTGTGACAGTGATCCACGCCTTTGTTAGCACTCGGCTGGATTACTGTGATGCACTCTATATCGGGGTCAGCGCATCATATATTACTCATCTACAGAGGGTGCAAAATGCTGCAGCTCGTCTTTTAACATGCACTTGAAAGTTTGAGCACATTTCCCCTATTTTAGCTTCACTTCACTAGCTTCACTTTTTAGGATTCATTTTAAAATTATTTTATTTGCTTTTAAAGCTCTCCATGGCCTAGCCCCATCTTATCTCTCTGAGCCGCTACAGCCTTATACAGCACTATATTGGATTGGACTGGACTGGAAAACAAGTCCACAAGTGTGAACGTAGCTTAAGATAGTGTGTAGCCTGGTTTGCCATGTGAATGTAGAATTTGTAGCAAGATTTTAGTTTTTAATACTAGTCTAAGAGAAACTGCATTCAGTAATTTTAATTGTTCAGTTTGACTGAATGAAAAGTGAAACATCAAATTCAACATTTAAATTCATTTATTGAAACTGATCATTTCATATTGAAATATAAGTGTCAGTGTCGAGTGGATGATATTTCTGCCCATACTGAACCCCCCACAAATACCTGCTGACAAATCGAAATATGCAAAATATGCAAATATTTGGCCTATTCAAATATTTCCTGAAAGAAAACTCTGACCTTAAGCAAGGATTTTCAGATCTCGTTGGATTTCATTTTCTTTTCAAGACTCCTTGAAATGAAATTCAGGGCCTTTCAATTAATGGAGAACAGCATAAATTGTCCATCTATGCAGACGATGTACTTTTATACATTTCAAATCCTGCAGTCAGTGTACCTCATTTAAAAGAAATTATTAGTACATACGGTTACCTCTCTGGTTACAAAGTTAATATTGACAAAACATTGGCAATGGATATAGGAGGAAACATTTCACAAACATTCAAGGAGCGATGTGGCTTTAAATGGCCAAACGAAGGTATCAAGTATTTAGGAATTTAAATTTCTCACTCATTATTAGACTTGTTTAAAGTAAATTATGAAGTTATAGTTGCAAAACTTTGTCATGTTGTGAGGAATGGGCACCTGAGCTCATTTGAACAGTTGAGAGGTCAGTTTTGGCTTCCTTCTTCTGACTTTTTTAGATTTCTGCAGCTAAGAAGTTTTTGAAGGAATGACATATTTAAAGTTCTCAATACAGTTTTCCAGCAACCATTAACAAAATACCAACAGTTAGCCATTTTAGGAGTATTACCAAATGCTTTTGCGGGAAACAATAAAAAGTACCTCTTAAGAATCTTGCTTACAGCAGCACTAAAGTGTATTACTATTAAATGGCTGAATCTTGACCCACCTTCATATAATATGTGGATTGATAAAGTAAGAGAAATTTACCAGATGGAGGAAATAACATATGCTCTGCGGATTCAGAGAGAATTGTTTACTGAGCGTTGGCGACCCATACATGCTTTACTGTTTCAATAATTTAGCATAGGTCTGTTTCGTTTTGTTCATTTATGGCTAGATTTGTCACATGTTATTTAATATTACACAAAGTTTTTGTTTTTGTTTTAGTTTTCTTTTCTTTTTGTTTTTGTTGT